AAAAAACGCCCTTTGGGAAACGCTAACGCTGAACCCTTCACCTTTTTGTTTTGGCTTTCTCTTTCTCTTCCTCTATATTTTGCAGACTATTTCTGGCTTCGTTACGGGGTCACTGTTATCGTTTCCCAAAGAGGGTACGTGTGCGGCCTTTGCCAAGGGTCATACTAACGCATTCTCTAAGCCAGCCTCCTCTATTAGCGGCGAGATGTTGTGGTGGCGCCCTTCTATGGTTCCCTCTCGTGACGTCATTACCTTGCGAACAACAAGTTCAATGGTGTTTGTAATTAGCAAGGTGGAAGCTTAAAATCAATGCGCCCTCAAAGCAACACTGCCAACACCGTCAACATTAAAGTTCTTACATTTCTCTTATTTCTGTCCATGAGAAACACTTTGCTGACGTCGTAGTCAGCATTCGGCCACTCGTCTCAGGCCGACTGCAGCGCGACGCTTTCGATCGCTCACGTCGCCAATACAAACTTTTGGGCTCCGGGCTTTTGGGGTCCCTGCCAAGCACGCGCGCTCGTGCAGGGCAGGCAGGCACTGTTCAGGGCCACATGCTCGCGCTCGTAGCATCGTCTGCGCCCGGACCTGAGCTAAAACGAAGTATGGCGTCCTGACGATCCACTCGGTTGGACCTAACGTGAAAAGGAGTACGACATAGATGTCGAAGAGCGCGTACTGCGAAAACGAATTGCGTCGTTCACTTGATCGTTTGATTCGTTTCCTTCCTCAAAACATGCATTGTCGCGGCGAAGAATGTCCCTCATTGTAAGATGCGCGAAGCCTGCCTTCCATGCGCCTTTTCCACGAGGGCGCACACAGCCATCTCGGATGTCGTCACTTCTGGTACGCGGTAAAACTTTGTTTTGATCTCTCAACGCTTCTGGAAGGTGTTCACAAAAAATGCGTGATTATCTCGCATTCTTGTTTTGCCTCGCCTAGTGCCACTAAATAAGCTACCAAAGTAACGACACTTGGCCATATTGTGGCTTAAAATCATAGTTGTGCAGTTACCTGACGCTTTATTTAGAATCAAAGGAAACGCTTTTCCGCCCTCCACATATCTTTAGACAGTTCGCGACAAAGCAAAGCAATGTTACATGAGCTTCCTAACACCGAATCTAATGCTCAAGATGTCGCACTTTTGAATCATGACGATCGGCAGTTGCGTCTGCTCTTCACAAGCACAATAATGGCGGCGCCCACAACAATGTCGGGGAACGGAATGCCGACACTCTATGCTCAGCTCGTTTAGTGGCTCTAGCCTCGCCTATATTTTCTTGCATATTCCGGGTCGAAAGTTTTTATTATACTTTCGTCCCGCATACCAGATACGGAATCCACGTGACTGAGAAAGAGAAGAAACGAGAAACGTCCGTAGACCCCTTCCAAACGACCTCCCTTTGTTGGCAGCTGTGGAATTCCTGCACAATGGCGGACAAAAAAATTCACAGGGTGTTTTAGGTTATCCCTAGGAAGACTTGAAGGCAAAAGCCCAAGCACCGATCCCGGGGCTAGCGAACCTCCGAAGACAGCCAGCTCTCTGACGACGCACTTTTGGCGCCGTTAAGCGCGATCAAAACCAACGCTTCTTTTTGCGCCTGTAGGTCGTGCGGCTGCGGATGTGACGTATTTTCGTGACGTCGCGCCGCTTCTTCGCTCCTTCCGGGCGCGCACAAGAAAGTTGGATGATTTCAACTTCTTCTCAACGCGCACAAAAACGCGCGGTGACGTATAGGGCGCTCCTGTGTCCCGGCCAATCGGTGGAGGGCAAGCTAGTTCCGGCTCCGCGTTTCTCGCCGTCTGGCTGCCCTCTCTTCCCCCCCTTTTATTCTCTTCCAACATGACAACACGATCTCTCTCCCTCTCTTTCTCTTGCCGTCTGGCCGTCTGGCCGGCCAGTCTGTCGCAGTTGCACTTTGCTTGTGCGCTCGTGCCCGCGTGCGCGCGTGCGCGCTCGCCCGAACTGTCGCCCGTCCAAAACAAAGCGCACGGTTCTGACTCAGAAAGCGCGCCCGGAAACAGCAAAAACGCCACGAAATGCGTCACATCCGCAGCCGCACGACCTACAGGCGCAGAAAGAAGCGTTGGTTTGGATCGCGCTTTAGTCTCACGGCATGTCGCACGCCCGCTCTTCACCGCTGCCCAAGCGAGGGTGTCCTCCTCTCCCCTTTGGTTTCCGCCACGCCTCCGCCAATTCCGGCACAAGTAACGCCATCTCGTGGTCCAGTGAAGAACCGTGGGTTTTGGTACCTTTCGTGTCGCCGACGTGTTTTCGTACTTTTCGTGTCGTCGACGCGTTTTCGCTCAAAGATTTTGAAGGTCGACTGAACAATGAGAGATATAAGGCTTTCGCCTTAAAACCGTAGCGTCAAGGCACGCTTTATGCGGTTGGTTGGACGACGGTGAGAAGACATTCATAGAAAAAAAAGGGGATGAGCGCAGTGATATTGGACTTTCGACGCTGTTTCACCGCGCTCCGACGTTCGCTATCTTACGAAATGGCTTTCACTTTCACAATTCCAATCGTTCCGTTATTGTGCAGTGGTTCCGACCTTCTAATAACCAGCATGTGACTTCCGATTCCGGTCTTGGTCGAACACGCCACACCGTTCGCTGAAAACTTGAAACGTTCATGCACCCCAAATGAATATGTGGACGCTTCCGAGACGCGGCTTATCGCCTTTAGCGGATAAGCGGAGCCCATGCTTGAGACTCCAACGCAACTCGTCGGCTTATCTCGTTCACCTGCGTCACTTTCACCTTAATATAGTCCGCGAGGCTTAGCGCCACACGTCAGCCGACCCGATAAGAAGGAATCATCAAACGCGCTTTATCGCGCGCTTCGGTTTTTCTTTTTTTCTTTTTTGTGGAGTTTGGTTTATTTACGCAGTTGACCCTACGAGCTAAGTGAACCAATCGGACAGCGTCAAAATTGCACTATCATGGTGTTCGTCATGTTTCTCCACAATTGTTCTATCATCGTTGAATCAATAGTAAACGAAAACGCTTTTTACGCTTATTAATTGGTGCCATTAGAGAGTATTAGTATAGCGTTGCTGGACCTTACGTACGCAATACGCAATAGTATAGCGTACGCTAAAAATGACCTGCTCGGACCGAATTTAGTTGTGCGTTACGTTTTCGAGTGAACACCGCGCATGATCTTGGTTAAATTTGCTAGAGCCGTAAAATTCTACGTGCTTATAGCGCAACCACGCTCCTGGATAGACATATTGAAAATGAAAACGCGTCCAATCATTTTATTTCATATTAAACCAAGCCACAGCTGCCTCGTCAAGCGCGCTTATCTGCGGGGTACAGAGGCTACGAGTACGTAGCCAAATTCGATCACGGAGCCTCCGTCACTCGTCCCGTGGAAACGGCACCTTTTATCAATGCTATCACGGAATGAAATTCATGACCCTGATGTCCAGTGCATAGCGAGAACTTCGGCGATTTCTTTTAGAGTCGTTCGTCCGTCGGCGATGAACTGTGGGAACAGGGGTGCTATGTTGCGCTTTTTGGACTCCCAGGAGACTTGGAAGAGGGAAGTGACGTCAACGACACAGCAAACGCAGATTGGATGTTGACAGAAGAAAACGAAATCAACACCCAATCTGCGTTTTCTGTGTCGTTAACGTCACTTCCCTCTCCCTAGTCTCCTGGGAGTGCAAAAAGCGCAACATAGCACCCCTGGCTTAGCGTTGAGCAGATCGCAGCGTCGACGCACATTCCGAGCGGCGAACATTTTCACTGTGCACTCCTTCAGCTGCACGGCGATCTCTGATTCGACCGCGGTAGGTCCCAGAAAGAATCGCCGAGCTGAACGCCACGCAATTTCACGTAACACAGAACTTCGAAAACATCCCGTAGCCCTTGCTGCGCCAGTCGGGGCAACCGCCATCTTGAAACTGGCGCTCTCGTTGGGTCCGAGATCTCTCGAGAGCGTCCCGCAAGGCCCGCTAGCCAGCAACGCAAAATCCCCAGCGTTGCGTGCGTACGCAATACTCTAGCCCTTTTATTGCGTTCTGCGCATGCGCACTCACGACCCGCAATTTCCTTGCGTACGCAAAGATATAGCGTACGGTCCACTAAAACTGTCTATTACCTCGTAGCGTCGGATGCGTCTGGACTTGAAGGGGCCATGAAAGGATATCGGGTTGAAATGTTCGTGACTTTACAGAGGCGCTCTGGTCTTGTCTAGGCAAGTATACTCGCACGGACCGTGTCCAACCACTGCGGGGATGAGAATGGCCGAGCCCTAACAATGCCTGGAGCTCAGCACGCGTTTCCCACTTTGCCGACCCCCAGCGCGTGGCTGTGATTAACGTTGACGGCATACAGAATGGGCACCAGGCCACGTGGCCGCTTGTTCTGGCTCCGATTTGAGTTGAAGAACGATGCTCGTATTTCTCGAATTTATTTGGCGACTGCCATTGCCTAGAAAGAAAAACTAAGGCCAGTTGATTCACTCATTAACGTTAGGGAGTGATCCTAAGTAGTTTTTAGCGAAAACAGAAAAAGCGAAAGGTGAAACAAGGTATCCAGCGCTTATCACTCGGGCGAAATTGCACAGTCACTGAATTGTGGTCACACGTGCGGGGTCTGACATTCCATAGATCAGAGCTACTGCGCATGCTCAGGAAGCGTTGCGCAGTCCAGCCTGCGCGGCGTGCAATTTCGGCTGCTCCTGTCGCGCCGCGTTTGTATGTACATCCGCCAAATGCGCCCGGGTGGTTTACTTCCTCCCCGACTTCAACCAACGACGGCCCATTCGCTTAGCCGTCTCGTCATCGCGCATCTTCCGCGCGTCTTCCATTTGGACGCGCCAAAGGCGTACTTTGGAACAACTTGCTCGACGTATACACTCATTGCAAAGAACTCGGGCTGTTTTGGTGCCGTCTCTTGCTTGCCTTCTTCGTGTGACCTTCGCGCTGTGCTGCACTTACGCCTAATTCCTGATGGGCAACTCTCCCTTCGTGGCCGCGCCCTTGCAGAGGCCGCACCGAGACAGCCGTCCTCCGCAGCAACCGGGACAGTCGACAGCGCCACAGCCGCCAGAGCCAACGCTGACGCCAGCACCGCGGGCCCAGCTTCCTACGACTTGCAGCGCGTCTGAAGCTAGGCCGGCCTGCCAAGCAGCAGCGAACATGGTGAGTAGACCACGGGTTTCATCTTGAGCGCGGTCAACACTGCTAACACAAAAGAAAGTTTGCAGACAGACTACAAAGCATGCATACTTGGACCATGCTTCAGGCTTGTTCGCAGACAGTCCTGTCATCACTGTCTGCAGCGATGTATGGTGTATATATACGAGAAGGGCTACTGGGGCAGTCATTTCAACTCTATAGTTTATAGACCAGCTTGCTACAACGATGGGCTTTCCTCGATGCCGTTTTTTTTTCTTGAGGGGTATCTCTTCACTCGTCAAACGTAAAGTTGTAGTCGAAAGGTCGCAGAGCACGCCGATTGGACAAGAACGTGGCGTCCTCGACGCGCGAGAATCCAGTCGGTGCGCTCCGTTAAACTTTTGCCCCCAACTTTCAGGCGCTGTTGACGAAGCTGCGTGATCGAGGATTTCACAATATCCAGGAGATAGGTTAAGCAAGTTGAAGGATATCCAGAACTAAACCCAATACGCTAGCTTCAGGGCGTAGTTTGTTCATTTTTTGGGGAGTGAAGGAAAATTGGGAGTATGCTCGTGGTGGTGTGGCAATCTGCAAAACAATGTCGGTAGATAGTCTTGGCCGTCATGCAGCGATCGACCCGTATATGGCCTGCCGCTTCCACGACGCCGGTGGCGGCGCCGTTGGGGAAATGGGTTCGTAATACCGATCCCCGCGGCCGACTTGGTCCGTTTGTTTATCTTCAATCTCGGGTTTCAAAATGAGACCTGTCCGCATGATAAGTATACCTTCGCATATCATATACCACGGTGGTCCGATATCACGAAAGGGCGAGGTGTTTATCTTCGCCTAGTATTCTTTTTGTACACTCAGGAGCGCTAACAAAATCAATAGGGAGTTTTCGTAGATCGTTTTCGCCGTCCCGCAAGGCCCTCCGCAACCCGCTACGATAGCGGGAACTCCACAGTCAAGGCTATCGGCGCGCAGGCGCAGTAGCAACTTCTTTGTTCCGGAACGCTTAGCGGAGGAGGCTACGCGGTCTACGAAAACTCCCTAATATGGAGTTTTAGTAAATCGTTTTCAAAGGCCCGCTACCGCTACGGGCGCGCGCTTTAGAGTGCATGCATCGAAGTATAGTACCGCGAGCTCCCACTGCAAAAAGCGTGGCCTGAAAACACGATCCGCTAAAACTCTCTAATATTCGTATTGCGACACCATATGCTGCTGCGGACATTGATTGCGCATTAGTTCTTTTCACCACCTTTTACGAGCAACGACTACCAACAAGCATGACCACGCGTGCATTTAGCATTAAGAGCATTGCGCTCTTCCAGTTCATTGTACGCCTATGGTTTCTTCCTAAAACCTGCACAGTCATCCAGTCGGCGTGACGTCTGAAGCGTCGCAACGGCTTTCCTGCCTCTTTTCGTAACACCTGTTATCAATCTCTAGTTGCGAGTCAACACCGAGCTGATATCGACGCAACACCGCCAACGATCCATCATTCGTGTCATGCCGCTCCGCACTATCTCAGTTGATTTAAGTTGGCCCTTCGATCGCTTCGGCGTACTGTCGACGCCCGTGTTGCCAGTGCCAGTCCTCTATGTGCTGGCACTGATGGATGAATACATCTCAACAATTTTCAACATGTAACGGCTTGCGGATGCTTTAAATTTGCCATCCACATATCGCAGCGCGCGGTTGCCGCGTGAAAGCATGGAGTCCACACTCCTAGCTTTTTTTCTTCCTTTCTTTCATTTGACCACTCATTGCTCTTTTGGAAAGTTCCAGTTTATTTTCGATAGTTATCGAGTGTTCTGGTTCGGGTCAGTTGCGTTTTTGTTGCCACCGCAGTATGTGCGGTACGTTTTTTACTGTTATTAGTGGCAAACAGAAGTTCGCCGGAGTAAACTTTTGTTTCCAGTTCTGCATTCTACTATTTTTTATATTTTTATTTGGGACAATATACTTTGTCTGCATACAGTGATTTACGTGTATTGCTACACGAATCTTAACCCTCAAAACCCGGATAGATGGATGGATGAATACACAGAAACACAAATATCTATCGATCGGATGGCAACTTGCTTAACATCATCATCTCACACTTGGGAGAGCCGATCTCTGGAATCTTGCAATCTACGGGGGGTGCTCGGCGAGTGACTATGCGGCTGAGTTTCTGCTTAGATCCCTCCAAACAACGTGCGCGCTGTGACACTGAACATGTGATTTCACGTGCCTCCGTCGTGGTCATTTTCAAGGCGCAGGCTGTGTGTTAGGTCTGAGCACATCAGCCTCGTCATCTCGGCCGATCTTTCTGTGTATACATTGCAGCGACTGGCTCTCTCGATCCCAGGTTCCTTGCAGGGAAGTAGACGTACTGGATTTTTTTTTCAATGTAGGGAGTTCTTCGTACAACATTTCTCCCACCAATGTTCAAAAACTGTCAGCTCCAGGTGTAAATAAGTAACTTCACCACTAGAGCGAAGGTCTTGAAGCATTATTTGTCGGATCAAATGAGCGTACCATCTATATAAAATGGTCGTTTATAACATTGCAAAATGCCTTTCGAGCCAAGAGAAAGAGAGAGAAAATGAATGGTGCCCGAAAGAGAAATAGGAAATATAAGGAAACAAAGTGTTCCACGGCTACCCGGTAGATGGCGCCAGTGTGTTCTCTTGTCGCGAGAGATCCCAAGAGGTTCTAAAGACTAGAGCCACTCGATATGGCAGCGTAGCTGCGCTGCCATATAGAGTGGCTCTACTAAAGACCGACGACTAATTCGCGCCTTCCACTTTTCCCCCACTTCCTCCTCTCCCCCCTTATACCCTGTCCACCGTTGCCTGTTTGCTCCTCCCCCACGGTGAGGAGGATCTTCTGCCCTGCAGAATCTCGGGTCTGGTCGTCGGCATTTAAGGCGCTCGGTCCTAAGCAGTCCCAAGTGTGCGAACCATCCTTTGAGCGGCTGTCACAGGTGCTCTTACATCGTACCAAAGAGAGCCTGCAGACCATAGCTTCGTTCGATTTTCCTGCACCTCCTGTGCCGGTGCAGAAGGTGTATGGTGGTCACTTCTGGTCGTATCTCCATACAGATACCGGAAGTACACTGCCCTGCACTTTTCTGCACCGGTGCAGGCGGTCCAGGTAATGGGAACAAGGCTACTGTTTGACGCGTGTTTTTTTCTTGTATGACGGTCACATCGGTCATGCAGACACTGTCTTCAGATATTGAAGCGAGCAGAGATCGAACATATGCCTGAGGAATGCCAGCAGACACTTGTCTCAACATGTCTGCAACGAACCTTTTGTAGGATCATAGCCTCCTATAATATACTGACGAAGCCTGGCAGATCGCCACGAGGTGCGGCCGCAGAAATGGAAAAGGTGGAGCGGCAGACAACGGATGACAGGATGGATGGATGGATGGATGAATGAATACGGCTGAGCCCTTTGGATCGGGCGGTAGCTTACGCCACCTAGCCATTTTGTGCCAGTAATGTGGAGAGCCACATTACTGGCGCCCCGCTGCGGCGAGACGCCGAAACACACTTCTCCCGAGTGAACAAGTGTGTTTCGGGTCCTCGCCGCTGCAAAAGCTGTGCGCCGACGTCCAGGTTCCCCGAGACATGGCTCTTTGATGATCTGTGCTACCAGATCCTCGCGCTCCAAATCTGCGACCGGGCACTCTATGGCTCCGTCGTCGAACTGCTAGGCTGTGTGAGTATAGAGGGGGTTATGGTAGGATGTGCGAGCTGCGTGAAGTGCGGCTTTAGGTTTCTAACACCCTAGTTACACGAGCGCGTTTGACTGCGGTTACGCTTAACCACAGTTACAACGCTTCACCCTTGACAGCTTTCTGGGGCCGTCAAGAGTGAGGGCGCACTTGCATATCTTGAGTGGCAATCAAAACTGCGCACGCGAACTCTTCCGATATAGCTAGTCCTGGACTTAACTGCCCCCGTGGACGTTCTTGTTTTGCCCCACTACGGCGAGTCTCCAGAGCGCGCATGCGCGTTTTGTGTTCTTAGCAGAGCGAAGGACGTCTCCAGAGCGGCGTGGTGTCTGGCGGCGAGCAGGGGGCCATGCTGTCCCTGGGCGAGAAGGGACTGGCCAAGACCGGCCTTGTGCACACGGTGAGCATCGTGGTGGAGCCCGTCGAGCCGTCAGACAGCGCCACCGACGACGACGCCGTCACCGACGACGACCTCTACAGTGAGTTCAGACGGAATACCTCTAGTATATGGTGCTTGGGAGCGCCATGTGTGTTTGCGTTTGTTTTAAAAGTAGCGTCTAGGGTGCCTCAATGTACCTCTGTATAGGGTGATGCCACCCTTTCTAGTACCCGATGCCGACAGCACGCGCTCACTGGTAAAATACAAAGAAATCGACGAAAACAAAATGTCGCCATAGCACAGTCAGCGCCACAAACGCGTGCAGGGACACGCTTTTTTACGCTCTCCTGAACAAAAGAGAAAGAATAAGTGTGGGACAAAATGGGCCCAACGTCTCCACCCTAAGCAAAGCGCACATGAAGGCACCCTAGTGACGTCACATGCCCCAGTGCACGAGGCCCTTGTCTCGAGCGGCCCTTGGACGCAAATGGCGGCACCCGCAGCACCCGCTCGTGGCACGTGTCGTGCGCATTTCCACAACAATAGTTAACGGTACTTGTACTGTACTTGTAAAAAAAAAAACAAAAAAAAACCTCTTTTATCAAGGTGCTTTAGCGTACCCCACGTGTCCCAATCCAGTCCGTCTCCCTTCGTTTGAAGCGCCATCCAGAGTTTTGTTTCAAAACTGTGTATTCCCAAGAGTAAAGCGCTTTATTATAGAGTATACGGCGAAGCACAATCAAAACGTTGTGTCTCAAGACGTATACGTATTCTATGGAACGCACTGCGTGCATTTACCATAGCAGCCGTCCCCAAAACGGTGGCGCGTCAAACGAAGGGAGACGAACGTGGGGAGAGAGGGGGTGCTGCTTGTGGAAGCAGCATCTATGGGCAGTTCCGTAATTCAGTTAATTTAGTAACATTAAATCCGGCTTTTGCGACGTACTTTGTTGCTACTTCGGATAATAGGACGCTAAACACACCAATCAGAGACGGGTTCCAGACACCGTACTTCCATGCACAGTTCGTTGTCTTTTCACTGAAAAAAAAAGAGCGTTACAGCTTTGAGATCATGCAACCTGTCTAAGCCTTCTTTCCGCTGTTTCATTCCAGTGTGCAAAACGCCCACACCGGCTGAAGAGGACATGGTGCGGAGTCTAATCGTACGTGTCGCCACCCATCTGCGATCTCGTTTAACCGGAGATGCACCGCGCGAGGCATCGAAGTACCCATCACTGGTCCAATCACTGGTCCAATCACTGGTCCAATCACTGGTCCAATCACTGGTCCAATCACTGGTCCAATCACTGGTCCAATCACTGGTCCAATCACTGGTCCAATCACTGGTCCAATCACTGGTTCAATCACTGGTTCAATCACTGGTTCAATCACTGGTTCAATCACTGGTCCAATCACTGGTCCGATCACTGGTCTTTCCCAAAGTTAGGGCGACGGTATATGGCTGCCGGAATGGCGTCCGGAATGGCGTCCGACCCTTTCACCTCGTTTTGACGCTGAGACTGCCTCGTCATTGGAACATGTGAAACCGATCTGTCATTGGTTGAGCTGATGAGACGTGATTGGTGTACTCGAGTGCAGTGCGGTGCACCTATACAGTTCTAAGCCGCAATAACACCGCTCATACAAAAGACACGCTGTTCACTGCAGACAAGATGGCAAAATTACCTGCGGGCAGGCCTGAAGCATATGTTTGAAGCTTCTGCTTTATTCATATGTAGGCTTCGAATACGCCTCCAGACAGTTTTTGTATGACCAACGTGACAGGAACGCCCTACGAGGAATAAACATGCTTCAGACAGTATCTGCGGACAGTATCTGCAGACAGTATTTACGGACAGTATCTGCGGACAATATCTGCGGACTCTCTTTTGTGCGATGCATTAGTGGTAAGATCGCGGTTTTTAAAAATAATCTGAGACGGATCGCCTTTAATCTCTTAAGAGATCTATAAATCTTTCCAGATGAAAGACTCGCCTTGTGCTTGTAGCAGGTCGTGGTGCCTCGGCGGCTCCGAGGCGAAAAACGCCGGCCTATACGGATCCTCAGGTGGCGCGTCCGAATCCCGGCCGAGGTGCCCGCAATCTGACCGAGGCTTATCGCGGAGAAGAGGACGACGTACGACCGAGATTTCGGTTGCACGTCAAAAGATTCATACGTGGTCGAAATCAGTCTAGCTCACTTCTCCGCAAGATACCCCCTTCCTAAGTTTGGCAACGTTAAAACCCCCAGATTTGACTTCTTGCAGGTCGCGACGGTTTGTTACGGCGCCGACTGCCGTAACCAATGGGCCCCATTCAAAACCTCACCAAACAACACTGGCGGTCGCCATTTTTTTTTTTTTTTTCCCACGAAGCGTGTGGTAGGATTTGTGTCTTAGCCGAACGCTGCCACAGCCCTCGTGACCAGCGCAGGTCAGACTAGGTGCCCGTTCATTGATGGACTCGGGATAACTGGCACAGCAGCTGCTGTATGGCGCGTACTTTTGAAAAGGGTGTATTGTTAACCATTTCGCCGCTTACCCTGAGACTGGGGTTGTTGTTTTTTTTTTTTTTTTTTTTTTTTTTTTTTTTTTTTTTTTTTTTGAAGAGCAGAAGTAACAGAAAAAACAGACAGGTCTCAAACTCAGCTACGCGTTTTTAAGAAAAAAACGCGTAGCTGAGTTTGAGACCTGTCTGTTTTTTCTGTTACTTCTGCTCTTCAAAAAAAAAAAAAAAACCCCAGTCTCAGGGTAAACGACGAAATGGTTGACTTCCACCAGCTAGCCTGTACTTTGACTCTTTTCTCGGTGTATCGTTGCCGGTTTTAGAATTATAAGAAATAGCGGCGTGAATATTTCATCTCGTATAATTCCGACGTCACGCAATGGTGGTTACGCTGCCTGTCGTATGGAATGTGCGCAGAGGCTATGGTACGCGTAAGAACCTCGGCTGCTATGAACGAACGCGCTTATTTGTAAACAACAAATCATTGCGTAACCTCCTTTGTTTCTTTTTTTTTATTTTATTTTATTTTTTTAGATGAACGCCGAACTTCGCAAGGAGGAGTTCGCGAAACTGCTCGAGGAACACGCCCAAATAGTGATGGAAATCAACCGGGCCGAAAACAGCCTGGCGTAGTCGGGGCCCCCACGCCCGGAAACACCGCGCCACCCTTCACAGCCAATCGGCGAGCACGAAGCGACGGTGACGTCACGACCAACCCCAGCCACGCCGCCACCAGGGGGCGCTCGGCGACGGCCGCCGGCGCAACCTCGGAAGGACCGACCAAAAACAAAATGGCTGCTGCTTCTGCTGGCTGCGTGAAAAAGAACTGGTCACGTGACCACACAGCCCGGGAGCGATGATTCCACGTGCGGAGGAAGAAAGAGAAAAAAAAAAAAAACGCTTCTCCGCCCCAGTCCACTCACCCGTCGCTGTCATATTAATGTTCGTTCACGTAACTTTACCGGAGCCTCTCTTAGTTGGGTGAAGACGAGAAACACTTGTGCATGTATAGTTTACTGCCTCTAGTGACCATAGGTTGTGTTCCATTATGTTTGGTTAGTTCTTTGTTTTTGTTTTCTTTCCTACGCCTGTACATAGCATAGCGCTCTTAGGTTGTGCGAGCTTGTCGAGAGCTGCCATATTTTGATAGCGACGGCCGAGATGGAATACCACGTGTCACCTTGTAGACAGGCTTTTCAAATGGTGACGTTGTTCACAGCTGACTCGTTTATTACTGGCGCAAATGCATACGGTCGCATGCCGTGAAAACCGATTGAAGCGGAGCGCGGATTGGTCGAAATGCCCTCGTCTTGTCCTGTTGAAAGCAAGGTTGATCTGGAACGTTTAGCGTTAACGAGGGCGACTGTGTGACTGGTTCATGTTCCACTTAGTTTCACTGTTACTCCGATCGATCTTGAGCGCGAACCTCTATCCACACTAGGCATGACGCCAGTCACTTGAGATAAGTAAACTGTCACGCGTAATACGACTTGCATTTCACGCCTACGGTACACGTAGTACGTCACTTGATGAGGTTTGCGTAACGCTTAATAGGAGTCTCCCATGTAAGGCCATAATAGCCGTGATGCGCATTAGCCGTGAAACTTATCACGCTTTATATGCGCAAAAAGTGCCGATATATTTTTTTTTTTTTTTTAAGCTGATGCTATGATTGCGTGTTTTGCGCGTGTCACGCTTCACGTTAGGGGGTCCAATGTCATTTTCTGTCGGACCAGCGGAAAGGTTTTAAAATTAAAAACGCAATGCAGCCAGGCACGCTCATTGCTGACACGTGGTATAAATGCATCTCGGAAGTCCCGGCTCAGGTGTAGCGTCCCGAGCGAAATTCACCTGCCTTCAATCCCAATTTGTAACTGCCGTAAATCTTTTTCCTATTATTTTTTTTTTCTTTTTTGAGCGGGGGAAAAAAAAAGGGGGGGGGGGGGGGGGTTGTGCTGTACCATAGCTTTGTGTTTTGTTTTTTGTGCCGTAGCACCTGAGCGTGCTACTTCGTAGTAGTGGCGGTTACCATGTTCGAAATTTGTTCTAACCTGAATCCCCTTTGATATACTTGTCCAGTTCCTTCTAGTTGCATTTTTTTGTTCTTATTTTTGTTTGGAGAGCTCGCGCGTGTATCATTGTTGTGAAAGTTCGGTTCCAGCGAGCGGGAGAGTTATAATCGCGACGTTGTGTGTGTGTGAGTGCTAGTTCAGCTTGTTTCATATGTGAGTGTTCTTTATGTGTGCTTGAAACGACAAAAGCGTGCCAAAAGAAACGCATGTCATTTTTCATTAAATTATGTAATGTGGAAAACAAAATGGTGGATGTAATTATTGATCGAGATGACGGAAAGCGATAGACTTAACGCAAGTTTACCTTAGAAAATAAGCCGCGTGAAACTTTTGTAGGAAAAATAAAATAAGTAGTTCTTTTTCGACAAGGCCAAATATTTTGGAAGGTACGGGACTCTGTTGGAAGTAAAGTTGAAAACTCGATAGGAACTAAAAAAAAGAAAACAAGTATAAGATTGGTATTTTCTGGTTCAAAAACAATTATGCTCGACCAGGTTTTTTTTTTTTTTTTTTTTTTTTTACATCTTGTGTAAACAGGTAGGGTCGCCTTACGGCGAGTGACCTACCCCTAATAAAAAAATCTGTTATCCAGACATTTCATAATTACAAATTTCCACGAACCACTAATTTTATACAGCGACAAATTTATCAGTCTGACGGCACCAATTTTCTCCTCTCCTTTGTCTTTATTCTTAAGGCAGGAAAGCAACCGTCCCAACAATATTATTAATAGTTGAACCTTCAAATTAAATGTGGCTCGATTTTTCATCGTGGCTATTGTAGTAACGCTTCTCTTAATTTGCCTCCAACCATGTGACGCTTCACATAGCTCTATAGCTCCCGGTCATGCGCAGTTATGCTTGTTGGACAGCACTACAAAAACTAAGGTAGAGGTCAGGGCGCCTAAGCCATACAACCAAGCAACCCTCGCAACAGCGGAGCTGTTAAGGGCTAGTTTCTCCGGAAGCGTGTCCGTCAGCGAACAAATGATGACACGAAACTCTGGGCAGCTACCGCCATCTATGAGCGACGGCAGCAACCGACTTGCCGGTTCTCAGGTTCCCGCCGTCGCCCATAGATGGCGCAACCTTTCCAGCCTTTCCACTTTCGACGTCATCGCAGTGAGATTAAGTGCAGGCTTTGTTCGAATACGGGTGCTGCGTCCAGTCCACCCGTCGAAAAACGCTCAGCGTCACCCAAGTGTGATGATATGTTACGCTGCTTACGGGCTCCGACTATTTTAGGATGGTAGGGTTCATTCAGATCACACGGCCATCACGACCGAAACAATATGTAGAGCCATTCATTCATTGATATGTTCAGTTTCGAGAGCGTACGGCCGGCCGGTCATTCAAACTCAAAGTAATTACCTCAGCGTTCCTTTCACAATTCAGCGTTTTTCGCTTCAGCACGAACAATAGCGTGCTGTAGCGACATTCCTCTTCCTTCTATTATTTTGAGAGCCGGGTGTAGGCACCGAATACTGCTGTTGTTTTGAGTGTTGTTACAATATAGTCATCATTATTATTATTGTTGTTCTCATCTTCTTTAATGTTTGTTTGTTTCATTTGTGGCAGCGCCCACGCATGTTTTCAGCTCCGGGGGCGCATCTAGTCTTTCCGTTTCCCATAGGCTCGAATCTGGTGTCTTTGGTACCCTGAGTCGTGCCACAATCTAAAATGAAATGATTGGACCTTTGGTCCAGTCATTGAATTTTGTTCAGTGACTGGTACTTTTGACGTTTATCCAAATAAAACTTCGCCTGGTGACTTCAGCCTGCCTCACACTTTAGCGTCCCGAGGCATCAAGTTTCCCATAGTAAGGAATGCATCGGACACTAATCAAACATCGTATAACGCCTAGTTCAAAAAGAAACAAAAAAAAACTTTAGGTTATACACCTTCTTCACACGCTTTGGCACAGCTTCCGCAAGACAGAAATAGACAATATGGTTTTAATCGTCTTTGATTAGGGTCTGTATGTAAATAAATTTTCTGTTTTTTTTTTAATTTTTTTAAAGAAATGCAGGTTTTGGATTACATCAAAAATTCCTATTTTACGTGTGTTTACATTGTAAACAGAAACTGATAATCTTTTTTTTTTTTTAGACATAAGTGAATTGGGGTGCAGAAATAAAAAATTAACAAAAGACTGCAGTTCCTTTCCTGTACATATATCATTCGTAAAATGATTTCAGTATGCATTTGCAAGAGCTTCGCTTTTAAAATGAAAGCTCTTATTTGGTGCTCGAGCTTACATAGCGATTAAGTAGTTTCCTTAATTACTCTAATTACTTTAATGACTGTTGAATATCATCCTAATTTTTTTTAACGACCATAGAAAATCGTCGCTTTTCTAAAGGTTTTCATTAAAACTAATAGGAATGGAAACCCGTGTCCTATAAGACTAGCGCTCAATGCGGTCGTCTAAATTTAGATATTAAACGTATACTTCTATTTTCTCAAAGTACATTTGCCCTAACAAACTTCAAATTTATTTACGTAAAACCTACACTTTTTTTTTAATGCGGAATAATTTTACGTTTGAAGGAAGAACATGTCATAATGCTGGTAGTGCATTCGATTGTGGAGACTGAATGGCTACTACAACATACAGAATGTTAATTTGTTTTTTCTTCGTTATATCTATTTCATTTGGTGCCTACAATTCCGAAAGTAATTTGTGGACGCGTCCCAATACAATGTTTCATTCACCAGTGGCGGAATGTTCTTCATGCATGCGGTCGACTTCCCGAAAACGGCGTTCGTAATTCTCTAGAATTATTGTCACTGTTAGATTTATATCGTTTCGCCCTGAGGCAATGTGCGAGTGCGTATGTGTGGGTATTTGTGTACGTATGTGCGCATGTATGTATATGTAAGTATGTTTGTAAGGTGCCATTTATTTCTTTCGTTTTTCTTTAATATTTTTATTACGCGATGTTTACAAGCAATTGAGCGATTGAAGCCGGGTTGTAGTAAATAAAGTTGAAGATAAATAATAAAAAAACAAAACGCTCGTATTTGTTTGATTTAAGAGGGTGCGGTACCTCTATTTATTCTTCCGTTTCAGACACCAGATGGCGCGCGGCTCGTGACGTGGTTGAAATGGCTAGGTGGCGTAAGCTACCGCCCGATCCAGAGGGATCAGCCGGATTCATCCATCCATCCGGTTGAACGCGCGACTTCTAGATGGCGCCAGTATCGAAGGCAAAACACCGCCCAGAATAATGAAAGGCTGTGCTGGGATGGTGACGTCATCACCGTGAGATCGAGCACACGAGCGCTGTGTCAGCGTACGGCTGGGTCTCGTGTCCAATCAACGTTCGCTGTCCCACTCGGGTCCAATCGTTGATTCGTTTGAATTGTTGCGAAAGTACTCCAAAAGCCGAGAGACGTCGTGAATTAAAATGAAGACTCCGACTTGACATGACATTTTAAAAAATTGGGAGCCATTCAACTCTGTGAAGGTGGACGCCCAGTGAAGCGGTTTAGAATGCGACACAGACGTGACGCAGAATTTTGAACAAAGGTACGAACACATTTATTCTTTTGATCGGTGGTCATCGTGACGAAAGGTACACGTGCCGCCCGCCGGCGCCGCCGCCGCCGCTGACATTCTCGTTGCCGTTCCCGCCGTTGCTCTTCGAAGGCGCGTTGCTCTTCGGGAGTCCGGACCATACGCGGCCTCCCCATCACGACGAGAGAAGTAAAATTGAGAATGGAAGACGGGCAACTTGTCTTTCTTTTTCTTTTTTTGTATGCAATTGCGTGGACGACTATCGCCGACCCGAGGAACTGGAGGAAACTAGACACGCGCGACGGGACCGCCACCCCGGGACAGCGGAAGGAAAGGAAACTAGGCACGCAGACGCTTGGAACGGCGACAAAGGGAGGGTTGTGCGAGCCTAGTTTTTTGAACACGCACACGAAGATTACTAAATTAACCAAGCTTCAAGAGGAATGCAGGGAATGTTGTTTCACGCACCGCACGCGCACGCCTTCCCCGTATAAAAGATTCTAAGTAAGTAACCCAAATAAAGCGTTGACGAACGCGCGTGCAAGATGCCATTCGTTTTAGGCTTTTGCTTTAGAACAGTTACTGCTGCAAACGCCGGCTCGTGCGGCGAATGGGTGCGGTGCGGCGCGTCGGTATACCGTGCGAGCGTAGAGTTCTTGGTCACGCACACGAAATATTCATGGAACCCTAGCCATACACAGTTTCGCTGTAAAAGAAAAACAATTTCATTAAACGTTTCGCCTACCATGTGGGAGGTATCCTCAGTAAGTACAGCAGCAATGTAAAGTTCTATTCGGAGAGGAAGTCGTCTGCTCTTTGCCTATGGGTTGCGGTAATGTCAGAACGACTCATAGCTCTGATTGGCTTTGGTTAAAAGAATAGTTCGCAAAACTCAATAAATTTCCTTAAGATGTGCGCACTATCTTTTTTTTTCTTTTTCTTTTTCTTTTTTTTTCTTTTTTTTGAATGAGCCATTTAGGTTTTGGCGTTCTGACATCGTCGCAGCCCCCGTGCAAGAAGCAGACGAACTTGCGCTCGGCATTTATCGGAAAGTTCCGTGTACGCTTCGGGGAGAAGACCGCGGTCTTTTGTTGCACGATGACGTTGTCCCTTCGAATGAACCACGATTCTAGCAGTTCTCGGTGCCCCCCCCCCCCTTCCTCCCTCGCCAAGTTCGTTGCGGCCGCGAAGACAAAAAGAATGACCCCATTGTCCAAAATACGCTCCACAAGTTCGATCTTCAGGCTGGTTGCACGATGCGGTGCATAGGAGACGTCAACGCTTGTGTTCTTTCGGACGAGTGTCTCTCCTGCGTTCGGTTTCACCAATATGCGAAGCACTACGTCAATACACGGGATCTTGTAGATGACGCCCCCCTGGACGCTCTACCTACCTCGAAGAGAAGGCCTGCGCACAACGTCATCGTTACGGGATCCCCGATTCACCCCACCGCACGACGCACGTTGAAAGCAATCTCGACGAGAGACGACGCAAAGTGGCAGACGCGTTCGTCTTGGCGTCGCCACGTCCTAGCGTCGCGCTCGTTGTGAGACACGACGCGCTGATGCGCTGACGCGACGAACGCACTGACGCGAGCTAGGCGGCACTGACGCGCACTGACGCGCGCTGACGCGACGCGCTGACGCGACGCGCTGACGCGACGCACTGACGCGACGCACTGACGCGACGCACTGACGCGACGCACTGACGCGACGCACTGAGGCGACGCACTGACGCGACGCACTGACGCGACGCACTGACGCGACGCACTGACGCGACGCACTGACGCGACGCACTGACGCGACGCACGACACACTGACGCGAGCTGGGCGGCACTGCGTGGATAGTGATGACGTTTTGTTGGGGGAGGGGGAAAGCTCGTTTTAACATCGTCTCTATTTTTTTTTTTGTTATAATTTGCAGGATGAAATTATTTTGGTTTCGGAGTTTTAAGCGAACACCGATTTATTGAATACCGTTACATTGAAGCCGTTTCATCAAACGCCATTTCATCGAACACCGCATAGTTGAGCAATAAAATAAAATTGATCAAGAAAAGTTGTTTTCTTAAACACTGGAATGATAGTACTTTTTTCCCCACAGAGACCGGATCTCATAATAATAATGCATTTCATTTTCTCACCTACATCTTCCATTTCTCGGTAATGTAGTCAATAATAAACGAGAACACCGCCTTGACATTTTATGAAACCTGCGATCATCGGGTACAGTGACGAACGTACGTTTCTTCAAGAGTGTACCCCCGTCCTTAGAGAGACACCCTGTTTTAAGCACGAAGTTGTGCTTGAAGCAGTGACATGTCTACGTCGCATCAAACAGGAAAAGAAAAAAAAAGTCTCCCCTCTCTCTCTCTCTTTTTGTAATGGGCAGGGTTGTGTTTCTGCCGGGTCAATTACAAAGTGGAAGCTCCTCCCACCTTTTTCCACTTTAGGAGAGCGACCCCCCCCCCCCCCCCTTTAGCGTCAGAAGAGCAAACAGGTTTTATTAGCTGCCACCAGTGTAACAGCAACAAGAGTGAAAGCTTGCATTTTTAAGGTTATGATTATAATGCAATTTAATGTAAAGGTGCAAGCAAACTGGACAAGAATGACGAAAAGTTTCATCATTCTTGTCCAGGCCAGGAGTAGTTCGCGCCGCCGCGGAGGGTGCTGTGGTATGAGGTCCCACCTCGGCGGCCACGGTGTCGGCGGCGTAGCGTGCTCGCCTTTTTCGTGGTGTGGTGATGGTGTGAGGCCAGTGGCTGGCCTTGTGTTGTGCTTTGGTGCTGTGTCCATCACAGGTGCCACCATCGTGCACGAAGGCGTGAGCCGTAAAGGGGGTGCAACGATTTTAAGAATAAAAGAATTTGCATTTCGTCATTTATACGTTGTTCATTGTTTCCCGGACGATATAGAAAAAAATCTCCTTCATTAAAAATGCCGCGATTCCGCTGCATAGTCACAAAGCAAAAGTTGAGCTTTTTTACCCACCTGCAGCCGCGAATGGCAGCCGAAGGAACTACGGCGAAAAGCCTACGTGACCTCGCTCGGCTCTAAGCCGCAGCATAACGCCCGCTAATGTCAGCAAAGAGAGGGAGAGGAAGCGTCCTCCGAGAGAGCACACGGGAAGCTACACGACACCCCGAATAACGTCACCAGGAGGGGGACCAGGTGTGACCCCGAAGACTGGGTGTGAGTTGAGGGGTGCCAGAAATGCCAATATTTATCTTCTTTTTTTTCTGTCGCAACATCTAGG